CGTGATACATGTGACAGCCCCATCTACTGGACAACTTTTGTTTCTGCACATACCTGTAGTTATCGTCCATTTATCGTTATCGAGGTGAAATCCTCAGCATAGCGTGGTATTGATTTTAGGCTGTATCGCCGAGCCCTAACTCCGAGCTGATCACCATGATCATAAATATGAACCTGTATATTTACTGGTTAACGTGAATTTAAAATTAGTCTAATCTGAAGAACAACCGAAAGTTCAAAAAGATTATTTATCTAACTTTTGATCTGTAAGAAATTGTATTTTAGTTCATATTTATGCAAATTTATATTTATGAATGTAAGCAACAATTTTGTAAAGAGAATATCGTAATTTCTGGACTATAGAGCGCACCTCAATATAAGCCACACCAACAACAAAAAAAGATTTTCTACACACACACGCCGCACTCAAATACAAGCCGCGGCGCAGCAGCCACATGCAGGTCTCCAGCGCACAGCGCATGTATGGCCATAACATAAGATAACTGATAGAAAGACGCTACACGGAGGTTTTTCGTTGTTTTAATTCAACAAAATGAATTTTAAACACGGGTGAACGTGCCTGCAAGTTTAGAAAAGAAAACAGCACTGATAGCATTCATATTTCTGGATGGTAATAAAATAAAAACAGAACTGACGCGGTATTACCGGTAATTTGCATGCATGTTTAGAAGAAAAGAACAGCGCTGACACAGCATTAATAAGCCCTGATTAGAAAATAAAAACTGCACACAAAACATGCCTGGTTAGTAAATAAAACACACTTGTCTACCAGAAGAAGTCATTCGCTCTCATCTTCCTCTTGCGCACTAAAATCATTAAAGTCCTCTTCTTCAGTGTCGGAGTTGAACGGCCTCAGAAGAGCTTCGTCACATACCTTTTCTGTGGCGATGTCAGTGTCGCTGTCCGTGTCGCTGTCATCATCCCCGGGTGAAGCTGGCTTGAATGAGTTCTTCCCGCTGCCGTCTCCAGCGCCGAACCATGGATTCATTCATGCCAAGCTTACCTGCGGCAGCACTGTTTCCCTTCTTTACTGCCAGATTGATGGCCTTCAACTTAAATGCGGCATCATATGAACTCATACATGTAGTTACCATGATGAGGGGGTATGGATTTGAAATAAATTCTTGGTCGTGCCGGCTGCTTGCATGTGCTAAAGTAAAAAGAGCACTTTCTTCGATTTCCACTTTTGACTTCCACCTGTTTCACTTTCTGCTAAAGCGCCCCCTGGCAGGTGAAGGAAAATCTTCAGTAAAGCCGCACCTCATTATAAGCCGCATGGTTCTAAGCGTGGGAAAAAAGTAGCAGCTTATAGTCCGGAAAATACGGTAATTGATATGAACTTAATGAAAGCAGCTTCTGCTTCACAGAGTGATGAAACATTGGGATCCTTCTTTGCCCGCTAATTTGCTGCCATTTGTGGGTGAGCACTCGCATGTGCATTTGTGCATGTGTGTGTGTGTGTGTGTGTGTGTGTGTGTGTGTGTGTGTGTGTGTGTGTGTGTGTGTGTGTGTGTGTGTGTGTGTGTGGGTGTGGGAAGGGGTGGTGGGTTGGGGGGGGGGGGGTGAAAGCGGAGAACCCATCACCATATGGTAGATGTTACATGTCAGCTGCTGCGTTGTTGTTGTTTTTTTAACTTTCCCCCACCAGTTTCAATTACACGAGCCACAAGAATTGATCTTCTCACGTTTTCTTGTAAGTACGTATCTTTGTGCCTTCGTTTCAGACGTCCAGATAGGTCACTTACACCAGCAGCTGAAAACATTCAGCCCCCTCTTTTCCTAAATCTACAAACACGAGTTTGTGGAAATGAGCAGTTTGTCTCGCTCTGTCTTGTTGATCAGAGAACTTGATTAAGTATTAGCTCTCTGCATATGTTGGATGTGGAACTCAGAAGTAGGTTATGACACATTTGGATGCATGCTACCATCTGGTGGGCCCCTGAACAGACACAGAGAGCTAAAGACGAGACAGCTTGCAGACCGTGCAGATACAGAACAGACGTGTGTGTTTATATCTGTGTGAGTGAGCCAGTTTGACACCTGTTAAACTCCAGGCTTGTGTATCTTCTATAGGAATCTATTATATTTTCTGTATTTCTGCCACATTCAGTCAGTGATTACCACAGAGCAGCTGTTGAGCTTTTAGCCTGAGGGTGAGGGTCTGGTCGCTCTGTGTCCAGGAATGTGGTTGACTTTCTAAATCCCCACCAGTCGATCCAAGGGCCGAGGGGCAGGGCCTATCTCAGGCCCCCTTTTCCACGTGAGCTTCATCTGGAATCTCTTAACCAAGCAGCTAGCGAGCACTCTCTGCCTGTTCTTTTTTTTTTTGTTTGTTTCCCCTGTTTCTCCGACACCATATGAGTTGATTCCAAACTGCAATGGAAGAAGAAACTGCAGATGAAGACAATGATTGCTCTCTTGGGGAAGGTAATGAACTTTCTGACGTATCATGTGAGTTAATTCACGTCCTGCAGAGGTTTGAGTGTTTTTGTGCTCTCGGTGTAATTTAGTTAGCGGTGGGGAGACTGTGTTTGGGAGTTAAAAATAGTATTGGAAGTACATGAGACGTGCTGTGACTTGAGTAGGGTGGGGGAGTTTAGGTTGATGACGCACCACCTGCTTCTTGTGCATGTGCATCAAAACATTTCTGAAAATCAAAGTGAACTGCACGTGGAAACTTATGTGGTGCCATTTGTAAAGTCAAACAGTCATAATTTAACAGCAAATGTTTAGGTTATTAAACCTATAAGAGAGAAAAAAAGGTGGTTTTTTTCAGTCATATTTTCACTATGTTATTCATACATTAATAAATGTTCCCAACTAGATATTTAGTTAGCATGCTAAATATTTAACTTAAAGTTTATTATCAATTCTACAAACTAAATATTTACTTTTTAAAACAAATATTTATTTTACAAACTAAATGTTTAGTTCAAACCTAAATATTTACTTTGTAAAATAAACATTTAATTTACTAACTAAATATTTTATTTGGAGGTAAACAAACTAAATATTTACCTCCGAAGTAAATATTTAGATCACAGCTAAATATTTATTTTGGGGCTAAACCTTAATATTGATTTTGCAAACTAAATGTTTAACTCCAAAATAAACATTTAGCAAAATATTTATTTTGGAAATTAAATATTTAATTTGGAGCTAAATATTTAGTTTGTAAACTAAATGTTTTGCTCCAAATTAAATATTTAGTAATTAGATTATTAATTTAAATTTAAATTTAAAACTAAATATTTAGCTCTGATATAAATATTTTTGTTTTAATTTAGTAGAAGAAATAGTCAACTCTAAAATAAATATTTTGCTATTTAGCTTACTAAGTATTTGGTTGGGAACTTTAACATTTATAAATGTATGAATAACATAGTGAAAATTTGACTTTGGAAAATGAACTCCAATTTTTTTCTCTTATGAAAGGCTAAATAACCGTAAATACTGCAGCTAAATTATGACTCTGCGTTTACAAATGGTACCCCATAAAAGCTTTTTATCTGTGGTGCATTGTACTTTTAGTCTTCAGAATATAACAATAATAAACAACTAAAAGGAAAAACTTTGAAATAACTGGAAGCTGAACTCTGGATGACCATTCATTTTTTTCTGCACTTACCCTCTAAAAGGTTCACTTTAGAGCGTTCCTTGTTTACCTAATAAACAAGAAAGTAGATTATTTCATCTAATTGACTTTTTCATCTTATGTTGACATAATAAAGTAAACTCCCTTAATTGTTCCCTGCTTCTGTCCTTTGTTTTCTTTTATCATTCCTCAGAATCTTTACATGCTTCATATTATAGTACGAACAAGATGACAAATATGTCCCAAGGGTTCATCTGAAAGTCACTTTGGCTGTAATACGTGCATTAACTGGATAAAAAAGCACCCGTTTGTAATTTCTTTTTTCTTAAAACCCGTTGAACATAGATCAGTGATGTTCTTTAGGTCTACACATTATTTTTGCAGTTAAGACAAGTGCAAATATTTGAAATAAAGTTGCACTATGAATCTCACATGGTTTGTTTACACCCAAATGTTTACATGTTTGCATAACATACAAATGGCTTTTGATGCCAAAATTAAAATAATATGCATCATGCAACGATTTATAAACACAAGAAGGAAAAGGTGTCTTAGAAAAAATAAGTATTTAATCAGTATCAGTTGTTGATAGGTAAAAAAACAACTTTCAAAACATTATTCTGCCACCGCTGTGCTTCACAATTAAAAGAGACTGGCTCTGGCTCCACGTCTAACTTTTTTACAGTTTCTGTTTGCAAACCAGGTCTCTGTGATTAGGTTTTTTAAATTTAAATGTTTATTCTGAGTTTTTGTATTATTGAGCATAAAATTTTGGGGGTTTCAAAAACTTCTGTACTTGGTTTGTGACTTTTGTAGATGTTTGCTAAAACTCAAATAACCTTAATCCACGTCAGACTTAAACAAATGCGAAAATGTTTGAATGTTTTTCTCAAACTTGAGTTCTGGCGCTCTTTATTTACAAAACATTAAATCTTGGAGGCAAAAATGCTTAATTAAGTTAACTATGAGACATTTGTTAGACTGTATTGCCTTTAATATTTAGGGATCAGGTTTTTGCGTACCTCCTTTCTGTTCTGACCCTCGTCTCGGTGTTCTCTCTGCTTTATCAGAACAAACCAAAGGCAACCTGAAGGTGACCTCCCTTGACGACGTTGAGCACGTCAGCCGCAGACAAGCATCCCCAAATGGGACAGCCCCTCCAAGAGGGGATGCCAAAGGCAGCCGCACTGTCCCTCGTAGACACACATTAGGAGGGGCCCGCACCACCAGAGAGATCCTGGCAATGCAGCCATCAGACATGGACAAGAAGAGGGAGGCCTTCCTGGAACACCTGAAGCAGAAATACCCTCACCATGCCTCGGCAATCATGGGTCATCAGGAGAGGCTGCGAGAGCAGGTCAGTGGGTTCAGTGGATGGTGGCTAGACTCATTTTGATCATCATTTATTTTGTTTTTATTTTTCAAATGTATCCTCAGGAGTTTCTTTTTTGAACTTCTGTAAGTAGTTTAAAGCAGTAGCGTGTAGCATAAACTCATGTTCAGCCTTTTTTGGAGTTCATTTGTCATGCTTTGGAAAACCTTTCTAGCATGGTAAGCAAGGCAGCTAGCTGCTGACAAATAAAGCTGGACCAGCTGCAGTGAAGCTGGACGTTACTCATCTCAGATTCTCACAACTTCACACTGATGCATCCTGTTTTATTTTTAGTGGAGATGGCGATTAGTTTATATGAATAATCAAAGATGTTTGTGGAATTGTCCCATTCTGTTTAGATTCGGAACAGAGATTTGTTTCTGCCTGGACCATTTTAAGTGTGACACACTCTGAGCCTGATCGTATTAGCATGTGTATCGTGTTAGCATGTGTTCTAAAGTGGAAGGATGTGTTTACTTGGTGATGATCTTTAGCTTTAGGCCTAGTCCACACGTAGCCGGGGTTTTTTTTAAACGAATATCCGCCCCTCCAAAAACTTGCATCCACACCACCTCGTTTTTAAAAAAACTCTGTCCACACGTACCCGGTTAAATACGTTGTTAAGGACATGCCAGACCTGTAGGCGGCAGTACTTCCCCCGTTCTTAACCTCGTCCTTCGTCTGTGGTCTTCCGCAAGGAGCAGTAATTCCGCTTGCAAGAACAAACAAGCAAAAAGCGCTTGGACAGTTGATAAAGCGAGCGCAGCTCTGAGGGCATCCATGCTGTCGGCTAGTGAAAACACAGGTCGCACACGTGATGTCAGCATTGTTTTGTCGCGGAAAGTGACGTTGCGGACCTTAAAACTCCGGTTTTGTCTGTCCACACGCAGACACCCAAAACGGAGAAAACGCAGATCTTCACTTTGGCCGGAGTTTTTAAAAAGATTCGTTTTCGTGTGAAAAAACTCCGTTTTCGTGTGGATGACAGGCCAAAACGTAGAAAAATATCTACGTTTTGGCAGATCCCCGGCTATGTGTGGACAGGGCCTGAGTTTGTTGGCATATCCATAGCAGTGAGTTAATTAGGTTAATTGCCAGCTGTGTCAACGCATGCACAAATATGAATGATCCAGTATTTTTGACAAGATCACAATTTATTAAAACCAATATTGTGTTATTTCCGCTGATATTGTGTTGCAAATCTACTTGCATTCACTGGGAAAAATGAAAGCAACATTTCATCTTAGCTTTTTCAACCTTCCAATAAAAGAATCAGCTGCTGTTTTTTTATTGTTGTTGTTGTTGTTTCCATAAGAGTATTTGAATGTTACCTCATTAGTTTGAATAATTATAATAAAGCTTAATTCGACATAATGAAATTTATACATTATACAAAAACAGATTACTTTAAAAAGTGCAGTGTATCTTTCTGCAGAACCACAGCACAGCTAAACACCAAAAATCAGTTTTATGTTTATTCAGGTTTTTATTTTCCTGTCTTAGGCTGCAGTAAAACAGCACAGTAAAGTAATTCCTTCTTTCTTTTTTGCTGCAGGTTAAACGTAAGGGGTACTCATAAATCTTTCTGTCATGTTCCCCTCCCTCACCCATTGAGTGAGCTAGGAAGTAGTAGAAAACCATGCAAAACAACAGTTCAAATTGGCCACACTCACCTGTTTTAATCTTGCCGTTTGGCTCGTAGCTTCAGGTGGTTTCTATACTCTAAGTGACAGAGTGATGTATAACATCCTGGTGCTGGTTCTGAGTTGTGCCTTTAAGTGAGCAGAGAGAGCGGCCAAGCGAGTCTCAGGGTGGGCATTTAGCTCACCTGGTCATTGTCTGTCTTTGTCCTGGGCCAGTGGAGATGAAAGGGCAGAGCAAACGGGTTCTGTAGCCAAAACAATTGAAGTAATGGTAAGACTGGCACGGGGCCAACAGAGAGCCCCAGGCAAAGGTGCAACACTTTGTGAAGGAGGGATTTTGTGTGCACCTCTCAGCACCACCTACATGCAAACTCTTTTCACTGTTTCCAAACTCAGGAGATTTGCATAATGCAGCCATCTTCCAGCCTGCATGGGCTGATGGGGAATCATCAGCTGGTTTTGTTTACATCCGTCTCAGTCTAGTCATTGTTTTTTTCCAGATGAGCTGGTAAACATAAAAATAAGCAGGCTGTACATCTACAGGGGCAGGAAAAAAGGAGGAGAATGTGTAGAGCTGAAGTAGTCAGACAGGTAGGATCAGCTCTGGGTTGGGGTGGAGTCAGGGTTTCCATGGTGATGCGTGATGTCACTGCTGGAGGGGTTCAGTTTACTTGCCGGTAGAAGAGAAGTGTGTGTGTGTGAGTGAGGGAGAGCTGCGCGGAGGAGCGAGCCATGGATCTGAAGGTGGTTTGGAGACATCATGGCTCTCTGTACGTAAAGCGCACCGAGGATTAAAAAAAAGAAAAGTTTTTTTTTACGTGAAAAGGAATAAATGCGTCACTGTCGGTGCGATCCTAGGGACTAAAAGGTATGTCGAGTTTAGTTTATTGTCAGCAACAAGTGCATTTCTGTTGCGCCTTTTACGCGCTGAAAACGCCACGAAAAGCGATCCAGTCGCAACTCGCAGGCAAGAGTCGCAAACTAAGTGGCGAATGACTTGGTGCAAAGTTTTACCCTGAGGATTAAACAAAACCGCAACTGATGTTTGCACTCCACGGATAATTTATTAGATCTACAACTTGAGGTTGCCGGTTGTAAATTATAGAAAGACTGCAAATCATTTGATTCTAACGCAAAAGAAAAGCGCATAATTGCGAAACATTTTTTATTGTTATGGGCGTTAGAGGTTGCTGCTGCAACATGTTGAATCTTGAATGAAACTGGTGATGAAGTCATGACTGTTTAGCTGTGCTGAAAAAGAAAGAGAGAGAGAGCACGTGAGTTAATATCATTATGACCAGTATTATCATTGTAAGGTCTTATAAAATAGCCCAATACCCCGGATGTTGATCTGCTGAAGGAGTTTTTGCTCCTTTTGTTATTCTCCAATTTCAAATGTAATTCTTGGCATGGGATCCAGTCTGTGCATATTTATGAACATGTGACTTGTCTTGTTTACGAGGTAAACATGTTCAGAATTGCTGGTGTTGTGTCGAAATGTGTTCCCCTGTCAAAAACAGTATCTTTCCACCCTTCAGGGTGTTTCCCTCTGCTAAAATGTGCACATTTTAAACTAGGAGAAGAGAAAACGCAGGATATTTACACAACAAAATGTAAAAAGGTCGGTTTGTATTCCATAAATCTGTGATCTCATACTAAAAACAGAAATTTGTTTTCAATAGTAATATTTTTGCTACGAGGATGCTTAAAGCGTTGGACAAAATTGATGAAAACCCTTTCTTTTAGCAGCTTTCTTTAAATAAAACAAGCTATGTTCTAGATATGATATTTAGTGTTTGTCAGAAACGTTGTTTTGCATCTGGACTTGTATTAAAAAAGATTTTGGGTCACTCAAGCCTCAAACAGCCTTAGTGTTGCAACCCAGTGTACTCAGAAGTTCCAGATTATCTGACAGTATTTTAATCTTGGCAGAGATAATGTGTTTAAAAAATAAAATGTCTTGTATCCTCTAAGGTTTTTTGCTGATTTGTTCCGTCAGGGTCGGTTTGTGAGAGGTGACACTCGTAAACTGATTCTGGATGATGTTCAGCTTCAGAGGAAGATTCTTGAATGTATTAGTCTGAGGAAAACACAAGATGCTGTAATAAAACAGACCAGTTAGAGCATGAATATCTTGGCAAGCCATATCATGAACGTAGAGAAAGATGACTGTTTGGCTTAATCTCATTGAGGCTCTGGAAAGTTTTGAAATCAGTAACGGCTAAGATTGGCGGAGAACGAAAACAAAATTTAAACAGGTGTTTTTTTAGGTGTTTGTAATTCTGGTGTTTGTTTTTTTCCGGAAGCTTTGCTGTCAGTAGAATCACTTTTGTAAAGGGGGAGGGTGCTGTTCCGGTTCCTGTGCAGGTGTAAAGACGCCCGCCGTACGGGAAAAGCAGCAGCGGTGGCGGCGCATGCTTCAGAGGTGACAATGAAATGTCTCCAAAGGTTTGGGTTACAAAAGCGGAGGTTTCTCAAGGTCAGGCGGAGGTTGGAAAGATAATATCGCCGGAGCCGGAAAAGTTGATGACCCCGCTCTTCTGAAATTCTCTCTCTCTCTCTCTCTCTCTCTCTCTCTCTCTCTCTCTCTCTCTCTCTCACTCTCACGCACGCACACACACACACACACACACACACACACACACACACACACACACACACACACACACACACACACACACACGCGCACACACACACACACACACACACACACACACAGAGGATTCTTCTTCGATCCTCAAAGCCACAACAAAAGCAAGTGGTTTAATTTCCTCCCCTCCTCATCAGGCCTCCAAAGACCTGGATCCCACCCAGGGGAGATGAGATAACGTCCCACCGGCCTGACCGCCACACATCCCCTTTCTCTCTCTGTCTGTTTTGCTCGCTCGCTCTCTGCCCAGGGGCTACGACTAGGATAGACTGAATTGCTTGACCGATCACAAACACACACAAACACAGGCAAATTCCTTCTTTCTGCCTGTGTGTCAGTCTGTGTGTGTGATGAACTGTGACTGACTTTTTTTTCTCTCCAAGTGGAGCAGCCATGTCACAGAGCAGCTAACTGCAGCTTTGGGCAGAAGACAGGCAACGTGACAGACAGGGCTGTCACCTATAGGTTGCTTTAAACTGATTGGCTGATGAGAGCAGAGATAAAGGCAACTATTTGACTGTCAACTTTGGTTCAGAGACTTCTAGTGACGATTGACTGGGGCTCAAATTGTGGTTTTACTTGGTTTTGGTGGAATACGGTGTCAGATGCACCAAAGGGAATCAGAAACTTAACAATAAACAATAATTTCTAATAAATTCAGATTATTTTATTGTTGTCATTCAACAGCAGATTAAAAATGCAGGAGAACAAAATGTGCTAGTAAATCATGTTGTAACCAAAGTGCAAAGGTCAGCTTAAAGGTCAAAAGGTCACAGAACGTTGTGCTCTATGATGATGTGAATGCCTAAAAAACCAAAACAAAGCGTAAACTCACCTCTTACATCAGGAAGAATCTGCGCTTTTCGAGCGTTTTCCGTTCTTTCATAATCCGTTGTCGAATTGTGATCGGCAGAAGCTTTTATGGTTCGTGCCTCACTGTTTTTACAGCAGCGGCCCAAAAAGATCTCCTAACACATGGATTTTCCGCTTCCTGATCGTGTGACGTACGTGGATGACGATCAGCTTTAGAGCTGGCATGTTTGTTCTCACAGTGCGGGGACTCGTTCCGACGCCCACACAGTAAAAAAATGCAAATGATGACTTTAGTCGTCATTGGCGGTGAATGAGTTAAATGTCAAGTCTCATTAAATTAGTCAAGATTCAGAATGCAACAAAAGTTTAGCGGTTTCATGGTCTCCAAATGTCGTGCAGCCCCTAAATCAGCATCTCACTGGGTTGGTGTCATATTGCAAACAGAATTCATGAGGGCGTTTCCAAAATGTGCGATTGTGAGCACCTGTTGTTGTGAATTAGAAATATGAGATAACCGTGGGAATGGTTAGAGAGACCTATGAAACTACTTTGTGACTGTTTGGAGAGCAAAAACAAACAATAAAGAGAATCTGGCATCATGCTACCATGGGAGCCCAGGTGGGTGATACAATTGCAAAAACAATTAAAAATGAATATCAAAGAAGTTAAGACTTAATGAAAAAAAATTCAAACAAGGTGTTGAAAGAAAATTATTTCTAACATTTATTTACAATTTAAATGCAATTTTGAAATGCAAAGTCATAATTCAGTAAGACATTTACATATTTTCTTACAAATTTGTGTCTCCTATTAGCCATCAATAGTCACCGCCTGATGAAAAGCTGCTTTAGGTAAAGTTAAAAAGGTTTTCTGTTCAGAATTTATTCGACATTCTGCTTAGAAGTACAAAATCAATAGTGCAACGCAAAGTGGGATAAAGAGGATCTGTAGCTGCCTTTAGATGTGCTTTTGTTGCTTGTTAATGCTGAACAATCAGCAAGTCTGAGTTTTACAAAAATCTAAGTTTTTCTCAAACTTTGCAATCAGTTCATCTCTTAACAGAAGAGAAGAAACATGCTTTTATTTTGATATGTTTGGCTCTTGGTGTTTACAAGAATTCAGCCATTACAGAAGTTGTTTTATTGGGCTCTAAAATGAACAGGTTACCCCACAGAGTTTTAATGAAGGCTTTTAAAGTGAAAGTGTTTTTAGAAACAGGGAGATTTTTTTCATTACCCAATCATTTCAGCTGCTAAAGTGTTCATCTGTTAGGCGGAGAGCTAAAAAACGAGATTTTAATTGGAACGCAAATGGGAGGAAAGCTCTCAAGCTGCTCATATGTAAAGAAACCATTTTCCAGGTGATGTACCTGCACATCAGAAGCATGTGATTTAGAGGTGGCAGCCTCACAGTCCTCATCAAACTTTGGTTTCATAAAAAAAATACATTCATTGTGCATCCAGAAGGAGAAAATAGCTTCTCTGTGAAGTTTCCTGCCGAGTTTTTTATTTTTTTTAGGTATTTTAGCATTTGGAAAGTCTCCCACATACTTTCCCTGTGGGTTCCTGGCCCAGCCACGCTCCTACCTCATAGAATCAAGGTCAACCAGATAATGCTGGCTCCAAGTGTGCATCAAGAGATCTGAACGCAATCAGACCAAAACAAAGCAACAAACAATTAGTCCCAGGAATGCCTCGTCTGGTTTTCCTTTCACTCTAAATTTAACATCCTTTTTTTTCTGCAGACAGACACATTCATGCATCTCATAGTGGAACTTTTAAAACCCTGGAAAATATGCAGGCACATTTTTAAATTGCAACCTGCACTGGATCCAAAAGCACACAATCAGATGCTGTTTCAGTGGGTCGGCATCAAACATCTGTTTTTAATCAACCAACCATGAAAAAAAAGAGTAGGTGTTGTTTTTAAACAGCCACCTTCGCATGAAGAACAGGACATCCATTAACCTGCAGAGGAGTGTTTGTCTTCAGGAAGGGAAGGAGGGGGGTGTTCTGGTTTTGGGGGTGCAGGACCCGTCTGAGAGGACAAGTGCTTCATAGAGTGGTGCCGAATCTGTGTCTAATCCCCAGTGTCGTTTTGGAGGTGGGGGGTGCTAAGCTGCTCTGACAGAAGGCCCTGATGAACCGGCCACTGACCACCGCCTATAATGACTCAAGCCAGACAGAATTTTACACGCTGTCTCAAAAATAACGTGGGTGCGTTAATCAGTCCAGCTAATCAGGTCTGAGCTCTTTTTATTTTTTTTCATGCAGAAGAAAAAAGAGCTGTGTTACCACTGGATTAAGTAAATGACAGCAGCCAGTTTTCCTTTAGATTTGTTGTGTTCTTTGGTCTTAAATGCACGTAGTGGTTATCTGTGTCCTGAAAGCTTCATATTGTCTTGT